TTAGTGGTTAAATTCAGAAACAGTCTACTGTTGCTTAGACTCAGACCCAAGTCACAACTCAGATTGGGTGCAGCAATCAGATCTTGCCCCAGAATAAATCCCTTTGGGAACACTAAAAACCTCAAGTCTCAAACCTTAGCTGCCTTTGAAATCCTGGAACAACAAAACACTCAATATCCTAAGAAAGCAAAAAAAGTACTAGCCCATACTTCCCTCCAGAAGTGTGCAAAACATGGCTCTAATATCAAGTCTGGAATCAGAATGTAGGTTGGAAGAATGAGAAAAAAAATTGCATTATAAAAAGATATTTATGACAGAGACACTTCAGATATAAAGCCAGAAGCAGAGAATGACTCCAAAACATCAATAAGCAGAACGAAAAAAAAAAAGCAGTTTGAGCACAAATTCAACTAGAATTTCTGGAAAAGATTTTTTAGTTTTGAAATGTTTTTATCAATGAAATGAGAGCACTAGAGAGAGGGAATGGAAAAGAAATTAGAGATACAGAACAAAGAAATGGAAAGGGGAAGCTTAGCACAAGAAGTACAAAACCTTGGCCAAGCAATAAACTCCCTGAACATTATTAGAATGGACCAAATAGAAGCCAATGACCTCATGAGACAAGAAATATTAAAATCAAGTCAAAAGGCTGGAGGAAAAAAAAAAGAAAAAAATTATGACATTTCATAGCAAAAACAACTGACCTGGAAAAGAGATTGAGGAGAAAAAAAAATTAAGAATTATCAGACTACCCAAATGTCATACCCAAAACAATAACCTAGACATCATATGTCAAGAAATGTCAAAAAGAAAACTGTCCAGATCTCTTAGAACCAGAGGGCAAAGTAGAAATAGAATCCACTAGTCACCTCCTGAAAGAAACTCCAAAATGAAAATTCCCAGGAACAAGATAGCCAAAATCCAGAGCTTTCAGGTCTAAGAAAAATACTGCAAGCAGTTAGAAAGAAAGAATTCAAGTACTGAGGAGCCACAATCAGGATCACACATATAATATAGCAGCTACCAGTTTGGAGCAGAGAGTTTGGAATACCATATTCTAGAAAGCAAAGGATATAGACCTGCAGCCAAGAATTACTTACCCAGAAAAAACTGAACATAATCCAACAGGAGGAAAATGAATCTTTAATGAAATAGATGACTTCCAAGCATCCCCAATGAAAAGATCTGAAGTATGTAGAAACTATGGTGTTCAAACACAAGAGTTAGAAAAACATAAAATGGTAAATGTGAATAAACAGTGATAAAGGACTAAACAAGAATACACTGCTTATATTCTAGTATGGGGAAATGATATATATGTCCCCTGTGAGCCCTATCACCATCAGAGGTCATAGAAGGAGTCTAATGAGAAGTCCTAAGAGTGGGTCAATTGTGTCTTGGTGATCTTAAAAGAAGAATGGAAAGGAAAAGAAGAGTAATACATTTGCCTTTCTAAAAGCAAGTATAGTGTTGATTTAATTATAGTTATCAGAGCAAAATATGGAATGGATTGGGTACATTTAAAGACATTGTAAATAATGTAAATGATATGATCACTTTCAATTTTTATTTATATAACACCAGTTTCAATAACTCTCCCACAGTCTATGGCTATATCTCTAGGAGGGAATGGGACTCTTGTGAAATAACAGTTGAACTGTTATTTTGTAAAGTTATCACTGTGATTGTTCATCCTTTGTTTTCAAAGAGGACCAATGACATCAGATTGATGTCTTGACTTGCACATGAATTGGATTTAAGTGAGGCAAAGTTGCACAAAATCATCAGCCTTACTTTTTCTCTTTGAAGCCCAGTGGCAAGACAAAGGTCAGGATGCCTGGGATGCAATGGATGACCTTGGTGTCTTCAGTGGTCTGACCAAGCTCTAAGCTCTCCCTAGCTCCTGCTTCAGCCACCTTCTGAACATTGGAAAAAAATGTTCTCATCTACCCATTCCTCCAGGGGAAGTCTTCATATCTTGGGATAGATATCCCCCTAATTCATTTATGGGTTTGACACCTCTTGGTTAACCTCAACCTGGTTTAGCCCATCTGCCAATACAGTTTTACTGGGGTATGGTCACTGCACATGCTAGTTTCTTGGAGCCACAGGTGAGAGCCGAGTGAAGGCGGTCACCAAAAGTGAATGAGCAGCTCTGAAAAGGGCTCAGCAAGCCCTCACACCAAAGGGGCTAGTTCTTCTTGAACACCCCACGAACCCCAGAGTTACTACTAATGTCTTGAGTGAAACTGTGGGAAGTCAGACAGAAAGAACTAAAAGAACTGTTTTAAATGTTATCTTGTGAACTTCATGAAAAAGATTCTTAAGAGATGTTAGATTCAAAATGGAATGATGTAAGCAATAATAATAGTTGTTAGGTGTAACTCTAGCTGTGATATTTCTCATTATAAATAGTTTCTTAAGCCTTTATTTTATTGGTTGTTACACTGTTAATATATATATGTGTATATGTGTATATGTATATATGTGTATGTGTATATATATATATATGGCCAGTAACCTTGATGTTTTTTTAAACCTAGGAGATTATGAGATTTAAGGAAGAGTGTAAGAGAAAGAAACAGAGAGGAAGAGAGAGAGAGAGAGAGAGAAGCAATTGCTTATGGGAATTTAGTTTAGTAAATAATATGTCTGGGCACTTGGCAGTAGGTGCTGACCGCAGTGCGCAGACCAGTTCCTAGTTCAGACAGCCGCTGCTGCCCCGTGATCTCATTACCAATATGTCTCTTTCCAGCAAACTGACCATGAACGAGGTGGACCTGAAGGGGAAAGGGGTCATCAGGAGGGTGGATTTTAATGTTCCCATGAAGAACAAAGAGCTAACCACCAACCAGAGAATCAAGACTTCTCTTCCTAGCATCACTTACTGCTTGGATAATGGAGCCAAGTCTATTGTTCTGATGACCCATTCAGGCTGACCTGACGGTATCCCCACACCTGACAAATTCTCCGTGGAGCCCCTGGCTGCAGAGCTCAAATCCTTGCTGGGCAAAGATGTTCTGTTCTTGAAGGATTGTGTGGGTCCAGAAGTGAAGAGGGCCTGCACTAATGCTTCTACCATTTTGCTGGAGAATCTTCACTTCCATGTAGAAGAAGGAAAAGGCAAGATGCTTCTAGAAACAAGATCACAGCTGAGCTAGCCGAAGTAGAAGCCTTCCAAACATCCCGCTCCAATCTGGAGGTTGTCTATGTCTAGGATACTTTTGGTTCTGCTCACCTTGCCCACAGTTCCATGGTGGGAGTGAATCTGCCCCAGAAGGCATGTGTTTTCCTCATGAAAAAGGAGCTGACTTATTTTGCCAAAACCCTGGAGATCCCAGAGAGGCCCTTCCTGGCCATCTTGCGCACAGCTAGAGTTGCAGACAAAATCCGGTTGATCAGCAATATGCTAGACAAAGCCAATGAGATGATCATTGGTGGTGGGATGAATTTCACTTTCCTCAAGGTGTTCAGCAATATGGAGATTGGAACTTCTCTTTTTGATGAAGAGCAGGCCAAGATTGTCAAAGACCTGATGACCAAGGCTGAGAAGAATGGTGCCAAGATCACTTTGCCTGTTGACTTTGTCACAGTGGACAAGTTTGAGGAGAATGCTAAGACTGGCCAAGCCACATTGGCTTCTGGCATCCCTGCTGGATGGATGGGTTTGGACTGTGACCCCACGGGCAATAAGAAGTACGCAGAAGCTGTGGCCCAGGCCAAACATATTGCGTGGAACAGATCCATTGGAGTATTTAAGTGGGAAGCCTTTGTTCAGGGAACTGAAGGGTTAATGAACAACGTGGCAGACGCTACCAAGAGGGGCTGCATCACTATCATAGGTGGTGGGGATACTGCCACTTGCTGTGCCAACTGGAACACTGAGGACAAAGAGCACTGGGGGTGGTGCCAGTCTAGAGCTGTTGGAGAGCAAAGTTCTCCCTGGGATGGCCGCCCTGAGCACTGTCTAATGGATGCTACTTTCCTGCCTGCTGGTACCTGTGCACATCCCTTCCAACATGACACTACAGTGTTTCCTGTCCCTTTCCTTGGCATGAGGCAAGCTTCTCCCTCAAGACTCAACCTGTGGCCAGAAGATAGAGCAATGAGGGACCCAGAAGCAGCTCAAGGTTTGTGTTTTCTGGCTGTGCCTGTTGTCAGATCTCACTTGAACTTATTTAGTGTGTCTAAACCATTGTGATCTATAGAGTATGCACACACACACACATATACACACACACACACACACACACACACACACATACATATTATATATATGTATTGCCTTTAGAAAGAAAAAAAGCTAAAGCTGCTGTTAGCCATACTCTCTTGAAATAGTTTGCTCTGATCAGCTTTGCCAGCAGCTGTATTTGTCATTACACACACATCCAGAAGAAACTCCATTGTGGGGAGGGAAGGGGGAGGGGGGGCAGGTTGACCTGTTAAATATTTCATAAAAGTGGCAGCTCAAATAAATAATATGTAATAAACTGTGGTAAGGGCTCAATGCCAATTGATTACTTAATAAGGGATGGTACAATTTTACTATTAATGAGGAAATATCAGGGCATGACACCTTGATAGCCTTAGAACCTGAGGTGAGAGTGAAAAATAAGCCAGTAGCAAATAGAGAGATGGGTGATGACCACACATAGCTTACATATATTGGAGGAGAGGGAGTGTTGACACAAAACCCTGTTACATTTGTGTATTTAAATGTTTTTATTGGTGGTTGCCAAATAGAACACATTTTTTAAATAATTAGAAATTTTTAAGTTAAATAACTATTTTTTCTTCCTTTTTTTCCCTCAACATGCATTGATCACCTTTTGATTTCTGTCTTAGATTTTATGGTTTTATGAGAATCAAGGAAGGAAAAAAATCCACCCTCTATCCCCACCCTGACCCAGTAAAGGCGGAGCAATCAGTAGGTGCTCTCTTACCCTGGGAGCCTAATACATAACCTAACATAAGGAAGTATTAACACCAAAGAAGAGATAATGGGTACGTGCAGACAAGCTCTCCTGCTGCTGCCCCTCTCACTGGGGGTGCTGACCCGGCCCCTCACAGGGAGTAACGTCACCAATTCTTCCTCTTTTCTGCGTGCTACTGAAAGAGAGACATCAGGTGGGATGCTTACCTGAGTGGGAAGTCTGGGGAGAGGAGGAGGAGATTAAACTAGGGGGGGAAAAAGAGCTGGAAACCTGAGCTCTGAAAGTGGAAATGTCCAAATCCAGGGACTGGTGGGCAGGCTACCTGGGTGCTCAAAGAAGAGGAAGAGCTGAAGCCAACCAGACTTGATTGTCCTGTCTACTCTCTTCCTGCAGTGTGTGGACGCCCCCAAAGCAGAAGCCGAATTGTCTCAGGGCAGGATGCCCAGCTGGGGCAGTGGCCATGGCAAGTCAGTCTTTTGGAGAATGGAGTACCTGTGTGTGGTGGCTCACTCATTTCTCCAGATTGGGTGCTAACAGCTGCCCACTGTTTAGATACGTGAGTATCTGTGCTGGACTGAAGGAAAAGAGGTACCCTGTGCTGGGTATTGAGATCTAAGATAAAGAGGACCTTAGCTACTTCTCCCCACAGTGAGGACAGTCCTGGGCTTAGGACACTGAGATCCACTTCTCTATCAGCAGGATAAGTTCAACATGCGCATAAGCGTATGTATGGAAATGCCCAGTAGCAACCCTCTTTACAGTGTGGCTATCCAGAATCTAGAGCCCTTCAAGTGTGAGGCTGAGGGGGAAGCTTTCCCAGTCTCTGGGGACCTCAGATTACTATAATTACCACCAACGCTACTCTTCCTTCCTTCTTCCTCTTCCCACTCCCTTCCCTCTGCTGCTTCTGGGAGGCTCTGGTTTGAAAGGAAGGAGACCAGTCCTGTAACTTGGTTACCCCTCCCTCACCCCTCTACAATCCTCTTCCCAATCCTCTCAGCAGGACTTCCTCAGCAGCTCCTGTCTCCTCCTTCCCAACCCCAGGAAGCCTCCTGCTCCTGCCCCAGCCCTTCAGCTGCCTGTAACTAGATCTTGATTTTCCTCTTTCATTCCTCTGACCTCTTTTTTTCCCCCCCATGGCTCAACTGGTAGTATATCTAGACCTAAGGGTCTAGGTAGTAAGGGTAAGGAAGGCAAAAAAGAAAAAATGTACATGTTAAAGGTATATACCACTAGTCACCAATGTTTAAACCCTACAACTATCCCTTTATGACAGAGTGTGGGGCTTGAGGAGGAGGGTCCAGATGGAAAGACACTTATTTTGCCAAGAAGTCCTCCTCAAATCTCCCATGGCTCTCCTTCTTCCTACCATCCCAGCCTAGAAACCTGCCTCAAATTTTACTGAAAAAATTGAGGCCACTTACGGAGAGCTCCCTCTTTTCCTCACTTCACATCAATCACCTAGATGCCTTCTGCCACTGTCTCCTCCTCCATCCCTGTCTCACATGGAGTGGCCCTACTCCTTGCCAAGGCAGCCCCCTCTAACAGCACAAGTGACCTCCATTCCATCCTGTCTTCTCCAGCAGATTGCCCCCTCTATCATACCCACCCTCTCACTTTCTTCTCCCTGGCTGCCACCCTCCATGTCTGTAAACATGCCCCATCCTCAAAAACCCTCCGTCCATCCATTCCCCCTATCATCCCATATTTCTCCTCTCGCATGCAGCTAACCTCCTTAAGAAAACTGTCTACACAGTAAATGTCTCCATTTCCTTTCCTCTCACACTCTTCTCAATTCTCTATAGTCTGGCTTCCTGCCTCATCATTCAACCAAAGCTGCTCTCTCCAAAGTTATTAACAGTCTCTTAATTGTCAAATCTAATGACGTTTTCTCAGTCCTCATCCTTCTTGACCTCTCTGAAGCCTTTAACACTGTCAATCACCATCTTCTCCTTGATATTGTCTTCTCTCTAGGTTTTTGTGGGTCTGTTCTATCCTGATTCTCCTACAGACTGTTCCTGAGTCTCCTTTTTTGGAGCTTCATTAAGTCATGCCCACATCTGAGAATGTCTCACAGAGCTCTGTCCTAGACCCTCTTCACTTCCCCCTCTTTACTATTTTACTTGATGATCTCATCAGCTCCAGTTGATTCAATGATCATATCTATGCCAACTATTCTCAAATCTACTTTTTCAAACATTAACCTCTCTACTGATCCCCAGTCCCTCTTCTCCAGCCACTTAATAGACATCTCAAACTGGATGTCTTGTAGATATCTTAAAATCAACATGTCCAAAACTGTGCTCGTTATCTTTCCCCCCAAACAGTCTTCAGTGCTTAGCAGAGCGTATGGAATGTTTGTTGTTATTCATTCATGTCCAACTCAGGACCCCAAGGTGGAATATAGTAGGAGCTTAATAAGCGTTTACTGGCTGACTTACCAGAACACACTCACCACACCTCCAAACTGGTAATGACCTCATTCCCTGAGTCTTTTACTGCAGCCCTGCTGAACTTAAGTAGTTTCTATAGAGCAGTAGAGGAATTGCTGGTAAATGTTTAACTGGGCTAAGGGGGTGAGGGGGAGGAAAAGTGGGAAAGTATATACGTACTTTTAAGTTTTTTTCTACAATATTAACACTCTTTTAAGTCTAGACAATCAACTTAAAAATAAATCAAGCCCAATAAATCAAGTTGCTGATTCTCACAAGCCAGTCAGAGCTGGCTCCAGCAAACTCCTGACCTTGGCTGAGCTTTGAGAGAAGTGAAGGATTCTGAAAGGCAGAGAAGAGAATAGAGGGAGCATTTCCAGAAACAGAGACCAGCCTTCAGAGAATTCCTAGAGGAAAGTAGGGTGTTCAGTTCTAGCAACAGGTTCCCTCAGATTAACTCAGGTGTGTGCTCACCTGGCTAAAGAAAGGTCAGAGGCCACAAACAACTTCTGGACCTTTTTTCTTTTTTCTGACTAAGCTATACAATCATCCCATCATCCCTCTCTTGTAGCAATGTCATTCCTTATTTCCACGTTGTTGTTGTTTCTGGGGGAAAAGCGGTACCCTCCCCACCTTGTCTATTATTTGTGTTTTTTTTCTCCTATTGTTACCTAGCTTTGTAAAATAAAGCATCTCCATATCACAATCACTGTTTAGGCTCTCTCTTCATAGTTTTCTTCAATATTTGAGGCAGCTTGCTATAGAGGATCCCCCCTTAATGCTACTGCCTTCCTTCTGTTGGTAATCTCCAAATTATCTCAAGTATATTTTGCCCAACAAATAGTCAATTCCATGTTGTCTCCCACAGTAGGCTGTGAGCTCCTTGAGAGGAAGGACTGTATTTTACCATTTTTTGTATTCCTAGCTCTTGGCCCAGTAACTGACACGTAGTAGGCACTTGTTAACTGTTTATTGATTGACTGACTTGATGTCAGAAAGATCTCCCAGCTCCAATGCTTATTAGGTCTATTATTCTGAAGTTATCTAACTTTCCAGAATTTCAGTTCCTTTATTTGTTAAAATAGAGATTAAAAAATACTTACATTGCCTCCTTCAGAGAGCTGTTGTGAAAAACGCATTTTATAACCCTTTACTAAAGTGCCATGGAAATGTTAGTAATTAAGTAATGTATTAATGTACTAACATTTGACTGTGTTGTATTTCACAGAAACAACAATAATAATGATGATGATAATGATGATAATAATAATAATAATAAAACTCATTCTTTAAGGTTTGCAAAGCACTTTACGAAGTGTCCTACATTAATAACTATGAACACAAAGGATTACTACAGAGAAGTCTATGCCAGGACCAAAACTACTTCCTGAGTCAAGCCAGAAAACAAGCTAATTTTCAGTTTTCTCATTTGTAAAACAGAGGAAATAATGGCACCTGTCTCACAAAGTTGTTGTGAGGGTATCTAAGTATTTAAATGTAAATATATATGTAAAATATTCACAAACTTTAGAACATATGTGAATTCCAGCTGTTATTACGCATAGCCTCTTTCTATGAGAAAAGTGAGATCCCAAAGTCATGTGGTTTTTATCTCAAATAAAGTTCAGTCTTCAACCACAAAATAATAATAATAATAATTTTTTTTTAAAAAAGCAGACTGACCTTATATTGCTGAGGTTGGTCATTGATTCATTAGATCATTGGATCTCAAAGCTGGAAGGAACCTTAGCTGTCATCCATTCAGAGCAATAACTAGGAATTTTTGCACCAGGTGTTGGGGGAAAGAGGGAGGATTGTAGGGCAGGGATATAAGGGGAAAGGAAAATTCACATGGAATGTAACTAATGGAAGGTAAGAAGCATGTCCTAGTGTGAAATGGTGCAATGGAGAGAGCATTGGACTTTGAGTCAGAAAAATGTGAATTCCAATATGGCCTTAGCCACTTACTAGCCGTGTGACCTTGGGTAAGATACTTAACCTCTGTCTGCCTCAGTTTCTTCATCTGTAAAATGAGGATAATAATAGCACTTCCTTTTCAGAGTTGTTGTGAGGATCAAATGAGATAATACATGTAAAGCAATTTGCAAAAAAAAAAAAGCTACATAAATGTTAGCTATTATAGTGCTATATAAACAACAATAATAGTAGTAGTAGTTAATATTTAGATGATACTTTTCACTGGTCAGAGTGGCTAATTCTTTCAATTATTTGTCTTCACCATGTCATTGCTACTAGATAAATTGTTCTCTGGAGAAATTCTTGCCCATATGAGAAAGCTTCCAGGCCCAAAGTTCTACTGTTCCATGTTTTCCTACCCAGACATTTAATCCCTCAGCCCAGCCCTGAGGAATTCACTGGTGACCTAAGCCTTAAAAATTTTTCCAAGATTAGGATTCCCTGTGATGCTTCCCCCCACCAACTCCAACACACACACACACACACACACACACACACACACACACACACACGCATGCACGCACGCACTCTCAAGCCTCCAAAACTATCCTTTCTTTCCCCTCTTTTCTTCCCCTAGGGCTCTGGATCCCTCATATTACTCGGTAGTACTGGGCTCTATCTTCCCCTACCTAGCAGATGCTGATGCACAGAGTCGAAAAGTGGTCCAGGTCAAACGACACCCCAATTACCAAAAACAATCTGGACCTGGGGACATTGCTTTGGTTCTAATGGACTCATCAATCAACTTCAACAACTTCATACTCCCCATCTGCCTCCCAGACAGTGAAGACCCACCAGCGGAAGGGACTCTGTGCTGGGTGACTGGCTGGGGACGGACTGGGGAAAACCAACGTAAGAGTGGGCCAGGGGAGATGGGTCTCCGTAAAAATAATCTTTCTACTTTCCCAGGCTCAAGGTCTTTCAGGTAGCTCTGTGGTATTTCCCCAGGTGGAAGATAGAGTCCTGGACCTTAGGCCTCAGGCAGCTTCCAGGAGAATCCAGCTCCTTCTTAAAACTGATCCAGGAGACTTTTGTCCTTAAGATCTCGAAGTCACCTTCCACTGCTTTTTGTTTTGTTTCATTTTTGGTGAGAAAAATGCCCAGAGTCACACAGCTAATACCGAGTATCTGAGGTCTATTTGAACTGGGGGTCTCTTGACTCCAGGGATGGTGGCTCTATCCACTGTGCCACCTAACTGCCCCACCGTTCCCTACTTTTGAAGCCTTTGATGGTTGTTGGAACTTGAACCAGTTAGTCTCCTGACTTCCCTCACACTTAAATCTGCTTGACTCTCTGTGTCCAATCTTTAGTTCACTAACCCCTTCTCCTGCTATGGACACTGCTTCTGGGGCTTAATTCTAGTCCTGAGTTTGCCCTTTTACTTCTTTTCATAGTCCCCACACCCTTCAGACCTCAAGTTCATTTTTGAGAGTTTATTCACAGGGGGAAAGGAATACATGAACTTTGAAGTAATATACCACTAAAAATCTACCTACTTATAACCTTGTAGGATTACACAGGACTTTCCTCTGAACGACTCCATGAGGTATATCATCCAAGGGTTACTATGCTCAGCATACAGATGAGAAAACTGAGGTTCTGTGAGTTATCCAGGATCATATAACTAATAAATGTCAGGACCAGAGCCCCAAACTGCTGACTTCCTGTTGTACTCCACTTCTCTTCAAAGATGAGAAAATACAAACACAGGGCACCCCTCATCTCAAAAACTGAAAGTGCACAGTATCACCTGAAGCCACTAGTTAAACCACAAAGGGTCATTAACATATGGGCCCATCTGTGGAAAATCTTCCTTACTCCCTGACTTAAATTGGATTACCTGGGCTAGACCAGTGGTGTCAAACTCAAATAGAAACAGATCCCCGCAAGGTTGCATATTGACTTAGAAAACTACGAATTAACAGTATCTATGGTGCATTGTATATTTTGTGAAACGTTTCCTAATTAGATTTTAATCTGGTTCAGCCAGTTTATCAGGCTGCTTGTAGCTGTGGCTGTGAGTTTGACACCTCTGGTCTAAAATGTACTTTTGAACTCTTAAGTCTCATGATTCTACAAAGTCATGTTAGAATTATTTCTATTTACTCTAAGTGTATCCTAGAGTTCAATAGGAATTAAAAAGCAAGTTCTTTATAGAAAAAGCACTTAAAATCACAGCCTATCAAAGGTGAAAGAGACTTTAATGATCATCTGGTCCAACTTCCTCAGTTTACAGGTGAGAAAAGAAAGGAGAAAAGGGGGAGGGGAAAGGCACTTGTCCAAAATCACAGGTTGGCTAGTGGCAAACCTAGGCCCAGAAGCATGGAGCAGCAACGGCCCATCTAGGGCACCATGCCGCAGAGACATAGCATAAAGGGGCCCTCTCTTTGCCATCTCTTGATCCCACCCTTCTCTGGGAGCTTTCTGCCTTTGACCATTCCCTCTCCCTTTCCCTAAATGGCAACCTCTCTTCATACACTAGTTCCTTCTCTGTTGCCTACAAACATACCCAGATCCTCCCCTATCCTTAAAAAGCCTTCTTTTGACCCTACCATCCTCTTTAACTTTATTTCTCCTCTCTTTCAGTCAAGTTCATAGAATAAGCTATCAATATTCCCAGTTTCCACTTTCTCACCTCCCACTGACTTCTCTGCCTTTTACAATCCGACTTTGGAGCCCACTCAGAAACTTCAATTAAAACTGTTTCCTCCAGTGATCTCTTTCTTCACTGCTAAATCCAATGGCCTTTTTTCATTTTTCATCCCTCTTGTCTTCTCTTCAGTGTTTGACATTGTTACCACCTCCTCTTTCAGGACATTCTCTCTTCTATGGGTTTATATGACATTGTTCTCTCCTGATTCTCTTTTTAACTGCTAATTCTTCCTAGGCTCCTTTGCTAAATACTTCATATACTCACTCCTATTGCATGGGTGTCATCTAAGGCTCTGTCCTGGGCCTTCTTCTCTACTCCTCCTAGTAGACTACTGGAAAGGTCTACCTCCTGGGAGGGTGGGGATTGTCTTTTGCCTTTCTTTGTATTCCCAGGGTTTAGCACAGTGCCTGATACATAGTAGATACCTAATAAATGCTTATTGACTGACTGACTACTCTCTATATGTTCTCTCTGGGTGATCTCATCAGATCCCATGAGTTCAACTATCATCTCTACATAGATGACTTCCAGATCTTCATCTGTAACCCTTATCTCTTTTCTGAGTTCTAGTATTGCATTTCCAGCTACCTGATGGACATCTCCACCTGGATATCCCATTTGGATTGTGAACTTAGCACCTCCCAAATAGAACTTATTCTCTTTCCCGCTCTCCTTTCCTTTCTCCCTCCCCATTTTCCTCCTCCCTCCCCCTGTAGCCTTCTAACATCCCTATTTCCATGAAGGATACCCCAGTTCTTCCAGTCCATGAGGTTTTCAAATTTGAAGTCATTCTTAACTTTTCACTCTCCCTAGCCCCCATATCAAATCAGTTGCTAAAGCTTATAGATTCTACTGCTAAAATATCTTCTGTATCCTTCTTCTTCTCTCCACAATCACTCTAGTTCAGGCCTCCATCACTTCTTGCCTGGACCACTACAGTAGCTTCCTAAATTGTCTTCCCATCTCCAGTCTCTCCCCTCTCTAATCTATCCTCCACACAGCTGCCAAATTTATATTCCTCAGGTGAGGCAACCCCTGCTCAAGGAGCTTCAGTGGTTCCCTATCACCCCTAGGATAAACTATGAGTGCGTCTGTATGGCAGTTAATTTAATAGCATTCACAATCAGCCTCTGGTCTGCTTTTTAAGGTGTTTCACAAGACTCCCTTTTCAATTATAATTTGGGGATTCAATTCATTTAAATAAATATGAAGTGTCTCCTGTGTGCTAGACACGGTATTCGACAAAGGGGATGCCAAAACAAACATGTGACATAGTCCATGCCCTCAGTGTATATGCTGATTAGCAAGTAAAAGATATATGCAACTAAATGGGATGGGGATATGGGAATGGAATGAATGAGAACATTAACTAGAAAAATCAGTTTAGGTGTTCTATAGAATGTGGTGTACGAGTTGAGCCTTGAATAGAGCTCAAGGAGAGAAGGTAAGAAGGGAAAGGGTCCCAGGCATGAGTGAAAAACTATACAAAGGCAAGAGAGATTAAGGAATGAATGTCTTGCTCAGAGTAGTAAGTAGACTAGTACAGCTGGGATATATACCTTACTAAAGAATATATACTACACACAAATGTGAAATCAGTCTAGAAAGATAGGTTGAACTATTCAGGAAAGTAATTTGGAATTAAGATGAAAAAATTGACCAAAATGGCCATAGCCTTCAAACCAGAAATCCCACTAATAGCAATATAAACTAAACAGGTAAAAGACAGATGGGTCCCATATATACAAAAACATTCATAGCATCTCTTTTTGTGGCAACAAAGAGCTAAAAATAAAGTAAGAGTCCAAAGATTGCATAATGGCCAAACACTTTATGGTACATAAATGTTATTATGCTGTAAAAAAAAAAAAGTAGTAATTGAAAGATTCATAGGAAGACTTCTATGTTTCACCATGCAGTGAAGTAGAAACAGGAAAACAGTATGCACAACGACTACAACAGTATAAACAAAAAGGACAATGAAATAAACCCTAATGAATAAGCTTGAATTTGAAGAAGAGTTACAAAAATGCACTTCCCTTTCTTATTGCAAAGGTGGGGGACTTTGGGTACAAGACTTGAGCTGGAAGACCAATTAGGAAGCTTTTGCAGTAGTTCAGGTCATAAGTGGTCAAGCCTAAACTAGGATGGTGGTCCTTTGAGCGGAAAGAAGGGGGTGGATATGAGAGATATTAAAGAGGTAAAATGGAAAAAAAAACTTGGCAATTGATTGAGAAAATAGAAGGGGAAAGAGGAAGTGAGGAATCAAATATGATAGATAGATTGTGAACCTGGGTGATTGAGAAGATGGTAGTGCTATCAACTGAAATAAGAAAGTTAGGAAAGGGAAAGTGTTGGAGGAGGATGGCAATAATACTCTACTCACTATGGATCCCTTGTCCCAGGGTAATTGAGACTGTAAATAAGGAACTGTGATGAAAATAGAAATTGGCCATCATGATTCTGGGAATTTTAAATACATTTACATTCAAGGATTAGGGAATGACAATCATAACTAGCATTTAGATTGCACTTTAAAGTTTACAAATCACTTTATATATATTATCTCCTGCCATCCTCAAACAAACCCAGAAAATAGGAAGGTGGAGAGGAGAGAAATAAGCACTTATTAAACACCTATTGCATGCCATCACTATGCTAAATGCTAATATTTACAAATATTATCTCATCCCCATTTTACAGATGAGGAAACTGGCTGACATGTTAAGTACCTTGCCTAGAGTCACACAGCTAAGTACATGCCTGAGGAAGGATTCAAACCCACATCTTCCAGATTTACAGATAAATAAAAAGTAACTAATTATTCAATGTGGTATAGTGGCAAGAGCCTTGGCCTCAGGGCTAAAAATTACAACTTCTAGCTCTTCCCCTGTATGCCTTAGGTAAATCATTTCACCTTTATAAGTCTCATTTTCCTCATTTGTAAAATAAGGATAAAAACTTATACTACCTACCTCAACAACAACAACAACAACAAAAACTATTGCAAGAAAAGCTCACAATATCATAAAACTATACATGGATTTAGAGCTAAAAAAAAGGAACCTCAGACATCATCTAGTCTAACTCATTTATTGTACAAATGAGGAAAATAAGTCCTAGAAAGATTAAGTAATTTATCCAAGGTCACACAAGTATTAAATGGCAGTCAAGATTTGAACCCATATCTATAAAAGTGTGGGCACAATTTTGCTTTTACTTAGCTATTATCTGCTCCCATCTCAAAGTCAGCCACTTCTTGACTTATCTGTAGTATTTTTTCCCTCTCTCATCTCCACAGTCCTCCTTCCACCTTACAACCTGCAAGAATTGGAGGTGCCCCTCATTAGCACCAAAGTCTGTGATGACTACTACCACCAAGGATCAGAAATCCCTGCCTCTGAGCCCATAATCCTGTCTGACATGATTTGTGCAGGCTTCCCTGAGGGCCAGAAGGATTCCTGCCAGGTAAGATGGCTCACTGGGCCCCCTTCCAGGCACCCCCTCACACCTCCAATATTCCAGATGTGCCTATCTCTCTATTATCCTACTTGGGAGTCCATCACCCACATCTTCTGCTCTACTGCAACTAGCCAATTTAACACAGCATCCCTCCCATGGCCACTTAGTACCTGATACTCCCTCCCTAGGCATCCCAGCCCAGCCCTGGAAAGCCCCATGATCCTCTGCTGAACTCTTTCCTCCCCAAATTTTCCCATGGTCCAAATTAACCATTCCCCTCACCTCTCCAGGGTGACTCTGGAGGACCACTGGTATGCAATATTGATGGAGTCTGGTTCCAAGTTGGCGTTGTAAGCTGGGGAGATGGCTGTGCCCGTCCCAATAGGCCTGGAGTCTATACCAATGTCGGTTACTACAAAAACTGGATCCCAGACCTAGGAGATGCTGCTAAACCCACTAGGCTGTTCCTCCCTCTTCTGCTGCTACCGGCTCTAACTTTATTGGGGAAGCCCTCCCTTGCCTTGGAGATATGTTAAAAGTATGGTCAGTCTTCCACCTGTCACCCCACCCACCCCCAGTTCTATATCTCAATCTTCTCACCTAAGGGTCACCATTATATTTTCCAGGCAAGTTGAGAAAATAAACCTGAAAACCAGCTTTTTTTAATGTGGAAAAAGACATAATTGCAGTGAGGAGAGATGGTTGGTTCATAAGGGTGATGTGGGAGTCTAAAAAGCTATGATGATCTTACATTTCATTGATAGAAATGATGTCCATGTGAGGAATGCTAACAGTTTGGTTCCCACAGAATTAATAAAAAAACAGGACAGGGGGAGATTAGGTTATTGATTAATTGATTTCTTGGTTTATTGGTTTACTCAAATATGTAAACAAGATAAGGAAGTGAATGGGATAATATAGGGTGAAGCCCCCTCAGGGGAATGAACTAACTCCAATCTCAGTTACTTTTCATACTTACGACTGTTGCAAAACTGCACCCAGATGCCTTGCAGCATATTCTGGCTAAACCGGATGTTCCACATGGCTAAACCGGATGTTTCACATGGCTAAACCAGATGTTCCACTTGTGCAAAGAGACCACTCCCCTCTAACTTGTTTCAAACTTCCTTCTGTTGAAGTTAGAATTCTGTGAATGGATTGTGCGACGCACACCCTGGCTGGAGCCATCTTGAGGGAATGCTGGGTGTGTCCTTTCTCATGAGAAAGCAATAAAACTCCTTTTTGCCTTTCTTAAGAAAAGTCTCTGATTTGATTATTTTGGGGGTCACAAACACCCCACACATCCAGAAAAGGAGAGGTGATCATCCCACTGTCTTTTACCTTTACTAGACTACATTTGGAGAACTGTGTCCAATTCTGGGCACTACACTGTAGAAGCAGTACTGATAAACTGGAGAGGGGACAGAGGATAGTGACTAAGAAGTTGAGTGAACAGAACTAACTGGAATGCCTAGCTTAGTCAAGTTTGGGTTGGGGTTCGGAGACATGATCTATGTTATCAAATATCCAAAGGGCTAGCATTTGGAAGATGAAAATTATATTTGCTCTCCTTGGCCCCTCAGGAAGAACTGGGGTCAACCAGTGGAAGATACAAGGAAGCAGATTTTGGCTTAGAACAACAGAGAGAATGGGGATGTTCAGAGCTATCCAATGATGGAATAGGCTACCTTATTAAGAAGTGAGCTGCCTGCCACTGGAAGTATGCATATAACTAGACCTCCACTGCATGGGCTTTGTCTTAAGTGACCTCTAAATCACTTATGTTGGTCTCTTTATTATCTTCTACACACACACACACACACACACACACACACACACCCTGGAATATATCCTGCGCCGTTCTTCAATCTAAATCTCCCCTAACCTAAATCCTCCTCCGAGATGGAGTCCTTCTGATGACTCCAGGATACACTGATTTCTCCTTTCTCTGGCATCCTATAGCATTTATGGTTAGTACCATGGAAGCCCAACCCTGGATCCTATCCAGTTATATATTGCACTTTTATTGTTTCTTACTGGTCATCTCCCCAATTTCAAATGCCCTTTAGGTCCAGGACCACATACTTTGCCTGTGAGTGATTGACAAAAGACTGGCCACATAGTAAGCGCTTTCTGCTTCTCTACTCAACTAAACTTTGCCTTAATGCGCTGCATACACTTGTCTTGGTAGTCATTATACCCCTTTTCTTGATGTATATAAGGCTACATCTGTGGTTTAGGACTTTTCAAGCTGCAATGCTTTCCTAGTAAATGAATTGGCCAGACTCATTAAAACTGTATCCAGGGAAGGTTGTAACAAAGACCCTATTATCTTTTCCAAGAATATGCCTCAAGGTCATTCCCCTTGGCAACGATTAAAGCCATTTAGATATAAAGACACACTAAGATACTCAGTTCATTTCCTACTGGGTTTTTTTCCTTTCCACTCTGCTTACCTAGGCAATTTACTGCCTGCGATATTTTACTTTACTGTTGAAACTGCTGAGACCTTTCCCTGTTTCCAAAAAATTAAGATAATGCTCCTCTAGGCCTGAATGAAGCCATTTCTATTTGTTTCCTTTTATTTTTATAACACCCTAGTTCCTGGGGCTACAGGTAACAAACATCTGTATCCCAAAAGCATTCTGGTCCAACACTCACCATCCCACCCAGCAGACCTTTCCAGTACAAAACAGGAATGCCACTGAGAACATATTGGGTGCAAGGGTCTCCATCTGCAGCTCCGCCACACAACCTTGATGTTTTAACCTTCCTAACACAAACAGCCTGCTCTGACCCCCCCCCCCAAAGGGTGCTAGAGACTCACTTTAAAACCTAGTCTTAGAAGAATCTTTGCATTCCTGTCCCATTTCCAGCCCTCCTGAGACCTTTCCTGTGTACAAAATCTCTTTCAATAAATCTTTCTGTTGTAAGGCTGTGGTCTGTTTCTTTACTCCCTGGGTGTGACCATTTAGCACAAAATCATTCAGAGAATAATTACCATGAAATATGGGGGGCGGGATATGAAGAGAAGAATCTGATTGGGCACCTAAAGATAACCCTAAGTCATTTGGTAAAAAGAATGGAGCACTAAATGAATGGGGACATTGAATAAAGTCTTTCTGATTCATTGCATCGACAAGATAAAAGTGGATGCCCACCAAAGTTCTTTAAATTATTTCCTTGGGATTTTTCAAATGCTCTGGTGACAGAACCATGGACCACAGACTGCAAGGCATCAGAGAAGACTAGATCCTGGCTAAGGGAAATGGTCCTGAACTCATACATGGCTCAGTTACCCAGAGACACCAACTTCTTTCTTTCTCCATCTTGTAATGGGGGAAACAGATTCAAGGAGACTCGGTGACTTGTCCATAGTCACATAGCCTGGAGAAGGAGTCACTTCTGAAATTTGAACCCATATATCCAGACTTCAAACCCAGAGCTCTTTCCACAAAACTCCTTGAGAAGAAACTAGGTTCTCTGACTCCAAATCCTCTTCCTTGAGACTGGAAGCTGCAAGGGGGGAGGGGAGAGTGGGAAGGGGACAGGAAAGCTGGGGAAGAAGTAAATGTCAAGGTAGGGTAGGGTCTGGAGAATCCAAGTCAAAGTGTAGCTAAGTATTCTGCCTGAAACGGTATGCAAGTGAATACAGGTAAATACCAGGAAAGGAGCAGAATATATTTGCTAAGTCCAAGATACAGTCCCATGGTAGAAGATCTAACCATAACCTCTTCAGCAGGTCATTTGATAAAAACCTTTGTACTAATCATGTGAACTAGATGGAGAGATATAGGCTAGATGATAGTATGATGTAATAAATATGGATCCTCATTAATTATTGGACCCAAAGAATAATCATTGACAGTATGATGTCAATTCAGATGAACGCTTACAGCACAGTGTCTCAAGGGCCTCCTTGGCCTTATACTGCTCAATATTTTTATCTGATCAAATTTGCATATGGTATAAAACTGGAAAAGAGAGCTAACAGAGTCAAAAATTTAAAAAGATATCAATAGGCCTCGAGGCTGCAGGTTCCCCACCCCTGGGCTGGAATGATAGGCCAAACCTACCAAAAATGATATTAAAATGAGGATAAATGTAAAGTTCTACACTTGAGCTAAAAAACAAACTTTTCAAGTACAAAAGGGGGAGAGCAGCTAGATAGCAGCTCACGTGAAAATAATCCTGGGGATCAGGTGAATCTCAAAAAGCCAAAGTTACACTCATGCTATCAGATAAAACAAAATCAAACATTTGAAGTCTAAAAAGGCATAAACAAGGAATCTACATTATGCTGGAAGGAACCATAGACAACAAACCAAGATCAATATTGAATTTATATCTCCCAAATTCCTTCTCATCCAAATTCATAAAGGAAACTTTAACTGAACTACAAAAAGACAGATAGTAACACAATAATGGCAGGAGATTTCAATGTCTCTCTCTCTCAGCTTTAGATAAGTCTAACAGAAAGGTAAATAGAAGGAAAAATATAGAACTGAACAAATTGCTGGAGAAAGTAGAGCTAAAAAAATTTTTGCATCTTCTAAATGCTAAAAAATATATATATTTATTAGCACCACATACAACTTTTATAAAAATTGACTATATATTAGGGCACAGAGATATTGCAAACAAATATAAAAAGGCAGAAATAGTAAATACATCCTTTACAGACCATAACATCATGAAAATAGTAATCAATTCAGAGGCCACAAACAAAAGATGCATATCTAAATGGAGCCTTAACAATGAAATCCTAATAATAAGTGGGTGAATGAACAAATCATAGAAGCAAGTAATAATTATGTGAAAGAAAATTATAATGATGAAACAAGATATTAAAATTTCTGGCATGCATTTAAAACAATTCTCAGGGGGAAAATCACATTCCTACAAACAAACATTAACAAAATAGAAAAAGAGAGGCTTCGTTACTATAGGTCTTCTTGACTCCAGGTCCAGCACTCTATCCGCTGTTCCCCCAAGATGCCCCATACAATTCAAGCTATCTAGAAGTGAAATTGCCTGCCTTGGGAAACTGTACCTTCCCTGTCCCTGGGAGTCTTCATGTTGAAGCTCAGTTACCACTACTTGGGGACTCTATGGGGGGGAAGGGAAGGGACGAGGGAATTATTCAATGAAACACCAAGTATTTATGAACCCTCTACTACTACAAAATAGACAAATACAAAAGTGAAACAACTGCCCTGACCTCAACAAGTTTTCATTCTACTAAGGGAATACAAGATATTCATAGAAAACATAGAGAAGAGAGAGAAAATGAGACAGAAAGAAAGACAAACAGAAACAATGAGAGACAGAGGGACAAAGAGAGATGAAATAAATACACAATGATAAGAATGGGCACGAAAACTGGAGGAATCAGAAAAGGACTCACTCAAGTAATAATAATAATAGCTAGTATTTATATAACATTACAAAGCCATTTACATGTGTTAAGTAATTAGATCCTCATAACAACCCTTGAGGCAGGTTCTATTATTATCCACATTTTACCCACATTTAATATGTTTATTTTTATAATTTATTATCTCCATTTTGATGAGGAAACTGAGGCACAGAGAAGTTAGTGACTTCCCCAGCATCACACAGCTAGTAAGTAATGATGTAGGATATGAACTCAGATCTCCTGAGGTCTTTAGAAATCCCTTCCAATTCTGAGCTGTAATCTATCTGCCTCTCTCTCTCTCTCTCTCTCTCCTCTCTCCCTCTCTCTTTCTCCTTCTCTCTCTCCTTTTCTCTCTCCTTCTGTCTCTGTCTCCCTCCTTCTCTCTCTGTCTTTCTCTTTCTCTCCC